AGTCGATTTGTTTATTATACAGATGTAGTAGCATAGAGTAGGATCAGGGTGCGAAAAAAATAGAAGTTTTACGAGGTAGAATACGGTCAGGGTACACATACGTAGAAGTTTCACATGAAAGTTAGACAATAGAGGGCTAATATACTCTCTTTCCGTTCATTGACGAACTTGAGAGAGAAAAATCTAAAGAAACGCAAAGAATTCCAAGTTTATTTACTTGTGGAGGATGATAGGTACAAAACGAAAAATAAAGCACATTATTATGTCCTCTACGTAGACGATGAGACAGCAGCAGATGATATAAACAGCAGGAAAAAAAACAAGTTAATTATTAGTTCATTTAGAACAGTTAAAACAGAAACAATGATATGTGTGATTTACTGCTAGAAAACCTCGATTGCAGTCTACTTTATTCTGTCTATTTTGTGGAACTCATATTTATTGTTCGAAGAAATAATAGTAAGTATAAGTTCAAATCGAGTTTTTTGGCAATCCCTTTTCCAGGTCCTTCATTATAGACCTTAGCAACTTTCTCCCCACATCACAGATTTTAACAGTCCAGGACAACCGATATTAGCCTCCTTTTTCTGAGTTTCTTATCGATGGAAAAAGGCACTGAACAGTATCAACAACAAAACATCGACTGTTCTGAAAAATTCTAGAATATTCGAAAGAGTTCGTCGAAATTTTCATGATTGTAATACGTTTGTGAACGCTTTAAATAGTACAAGTGTTGATTTTCGTGTCGATAAAAGTTTATATTCAAAGTGTCAATGATCATAGGCAGTTGTGGATTGATTTGTCACAAGTGTTATATAGTCAACATAAAAAGCATGAATTGATCAAGTTATAACTATGGAAAATCATAATCTTGCTGGAACTTATCTAACGATTCAAGATTATCTAAACACATTAGAACATTCAAAGAAAAAGCATTGGACACAGATCGAATGACTTCACCACTGAATCACCCAAATCTAGCAACTGCATGTCATCATGTCAGCGCGATCGGTTGTTATCAAATTTTGGATTTTAGTGGTGTATTACGGTATTATGAGAAGATCTTGCAAATAATGGATTAAAATTGTCTCGGAAATAATCATCCGTTAACTCTTTTGTGTCGCGGCACAATAGAAATATTCAAGAAAAAACTACAAAGAATATACAACTTGACAATCTGACGATATCTACCTCAAATAAATCATAATATGGACAGCATTACAGTTAAAAATTGATTAAGCGCACCAGACTATTTCAAGATCGTGAATTTGAAACGAATTCTTCTTAATAACCACAAATAATACCTGCATACGAAAATGAAAACACTCTTTATGATTAAAAATGCTGTATTCCTTCTTCTTTGTCTTCTTTTCTACAAAAGGATAGTCAGAATCTTCTTCTGAACGTGTGTGCAAGTGTGTGGGCGTAGCTGTGGTTGTCAATATGACTATGAGCCTTCTCTTCACTTGCATACATATTAAATGATGTAAATTATTGTTACTTTTTTTTTTTTTTACAGAAGAGCAATACGTGTGTCACTAATTAACAAAGATCGTAGTTCTCTAATGAATGTTTCATTTGACATTGAATTAATTATTTTACTTAAAATACCATAACAAGTTTGCTTAGTCTTACTTAAGGCTAATAAACAGCTGATTCAACTAATCTGTGGAAAATTTTTTTAGCAGATATCATTAAAAGAAATATTAAAAAATTGTTTGAAAAATTTTAGTATGAATTTTTCCGATTGTGAGTTTCATGCTTATGTCAAAATAAAAAAAAAACATATCAAGTCGACTATTTTATAGCTATATAAAGTTAATTGCGTAGTTTTTTAATGTCAAAAATGACGTGCTGATAGTTGTCTGTCATACAGGCTGGTAGTGGTCCATTACCTTGAAATACAAATAGTAATGTAAATACTTGTTTCTCTTTTCTCCTCTTTTCTTTTTCTGGTCATAGAAGCTTCTATAAAACGAAGTACATCGTTTTGTTTTCTTTCTTCTTTTTCTTGTTGTAAGTTGACGGTGTTATTAATTTATCTTATGATAACCTCATTTTATACTAGTTTTGAAAAAAAGAAAGTGTAACAGTCGACATATTTACATTGTTAATTGAAGAAGACAAAGACAATGAGTAATCAGACAAAAATGATAATTATTACTTCAAATGAAGATATTATTCATCAATTATGTTTGAACAAATCAGAAAATACTCGTATCATTGATTTAGATGGAAACAATGCAACTAGTTCAATACCTAAGAATAACAATAATTTATTTGACCTTACTTTTCTTGCTCAACTTTCTGAACTTGTTTGTATTTTTAATTTGAAATATTTTTTGTTTTTCATGATGAAAATTTTCAATCTAGAATTCAACAAATGATCAAATGTACAAACGAGTTCTTGATTCTCCTCAATGTAGTCGATCAAAAGTAGCGAAAATGTCAAAAAAAGAAATCGACCTTGTTTGTGTTATTTGTGGAGATCATGCTATTGGTTTCAATTACGATGTTCTTACATGTGCTTCATGTAAAGCATTTTTTCGTCGTAATGCTCAACATAATCTAGTTTGACTCTTTTTTCTTTATTATTTTTTTTAATTTTTATTTTCATTTGATTTTTTTTTAGAAAAAAATTCGTTGTCGGACAGGACAAAACCAGTGTTCGATTTTTCATGATAGTCATCGTAAATGTCAACGATGTCGACTAGAAAAATGTTTTGCTATGGGAATGAGAAAAGATTTTATTTTGAGTGAAGAAGAAAAACAAAAACGACGAGAACGTCTTGAAGAAAATCGACAATTGTTAAATGAACATAAATATTCTACAGAATTGATTTCTTCATCAACTAATGAACATCTCTCAGAATCACTTAATGAAATTGATCGTGTAAGTTAAATCTGTAAATTGAATTTTTTCGTTGTCAACTTTGAAAATTAGATAGAATTTTTAAAACAAGAAGAAAACTCAGATACAAAAATATATTAATCATTGTTTATTAGAATATTTATCGACTTATGAATTGAGATGGAAAATTTTAATAAACAAATTTATTTTAATGGATGTTTAAAATATACAAAGAAAGAAATAGTAAATTTTAAGACTTTAAAGTAGAGATGTGCAGAGTACGCTTTTTTCATACCCTGTATCCTGACAAAGAAGAATTTTCTTACCCTGACCCTATCCTATCGCATTCGTACCCTGAACTTACTCTACCCTCCAGAATTTCTATGACTTTCTACCCTGACCCTATCCTATCCTGTGAAACTTCTACTTATGTGTACCCTGACCGTATTCTACCTCGTAAAACTTCTATTTTTTTCGCACCCTGATCCTACTCTATGCTACTACATCTGTATAATAAACAAATCGACTCATATATTTTTCAAACAAGCAATTGATCAAGCTTGATTTTACTAATAAGTAAATTTGATCAAAGCAATGGATGAAAAAAAGATGAAAAGCATATCGATTGACTTTGTCCATTGACCATTGCTTATATATTATATTCAATGTAATGATACATTTTAAAATGATTCATTTGTGTAACAGCACTTAAAAGATGTTACTAAAGCGTGGCCATTTTTCTGTCGTCTTAGAACGATAACAGGAAACACTCACAATAGTAGCATACATGTATCATGATATTAGTGTCACATATGCTCTTCTCTAACTATCTTATACGGGATCTTCTATTTATCCTAATGTATAGTTGAAGATGCTCACCCTTACCCTATGATGTTGTTACACTGACCCTATCCTACCCTGTCGCATCTGTGCCCCGACCCTACCCTATCCTCCTACATACGTACTGTAGTCCTACCCTACCCTCTCACATCCTTTTCTGGCCTTACCCTGCACATTTCTACTTTAAAATAGTTATTAGATAGGCATAAGACATAAAAACTTCATAAAACTTAAGAAAATAATATGAGTCTTCAAAATTTCACGATTCTACTGTTTCTATCTTGAAAATTGTAATAATTCTTGTTCATAATTAAAAGAAAAAATTCTGTTAAATAATACTTATAAATATTGTTTTTGATGAAATTGAATATATACAGTATGAATTCATATAAACTTTTGTTCAGCTTTTAATGGATACGGACAATGACAATTTTATTTCTCATAATAAAACTGAATTGAATAGAAAAGTAAGCACATCAGGTCGAAGTATTTCAATTGAAGATTGGTCGGATATTGAAAGTATTATATCAAGTTATTCGTCAATATTTCAAAATCAATATTCATTATGTCGTTCATTTGATATATCTGATCGTAAATCAGCTTTAATATATTGGTCAGAATTTGCAAGTCAAAGAGCTTTAAAACTCATTAACTTTTTTCAAGAAATAGACGAATTCGAAAATCTAAATAGTGATGATCGATTTACTTTGATAAAATATAATCTTCTTTCCTTATATTTGATACAAAAATGTCTAAATTATAATCCATTAACTGGAACATTTATCAATAGAAAAAATGAAGATGTTTTAAAACGCCGTCAATTTTTTGCTTTATGCTATGGAACAAGTGGTATTCGTGAGAGTTTCATGAGTTTAATACGGTCTTTTTCAAAAGTTACTGAACAAGATTCAATTTTAATAAATCTTCTTCTTGTTGTATTACTTTTCTCCAAAGGTTTATCAATGAATGAAACTGAACCTGAATTAAATGATGAACT